GCCTGTCTGTTCCGGCCTCTCACCCATGCCACTCATGTTCAGCTCCTCTCTGACAATACCATGGCAGTGGCCTATATCAACAGGCAAGAGGACACCAAATCCCTGTCACTCTGTACAGAATCCATCTGCCTCCGGAACTGGTGTATCCACCACTATGTCATGCTCCATGCGGCCTACCTCCCGTGCACACACAACTCCCTGACCAGTGTGGTCAGCCAGCATTGGTACATCAGTCACAAGGGGGAACTCCATGACCCCACTCTCCACTCCCTCTGCCATGCCAGGGACACCCCTCGATGGGACCTTTTTTGCCATGTGCAACAACCACAAATTCCCCCTCTACTGTTCCCTGGGGGCCATGGAGCCTGGCTCCCAAGGCAATGCCCTCCTCCTGCCTTGCTGCAGCAAACTCCTGCCTTCCACCCCCATTCCCCTCCTTCCCCAGGTCCTACAGAAGATCATAGAATATCAGGGTTGGAAGGGGCCTCAGGAGGTTATCTAGTCCAACCCCCTGCTCAAAGCAGGACCAATCCCCTACTAAATCATCCCAGCCAGGGCTTTGTCAAGACTGACCTTAAAAACCTCTAAGGAAGGAGATTCTACCACCACCCTAGGTAACCCATTCCAGTACTTCACCACCCTCCTAGTGAAAAAGTTTTTCCTAATATCCACCTAAACCTCCCCCACTGCAACTTGAGACCATTACTCCTTGTTCTGTCATCAGGTACCACTGAGAACAGTCTAGATCCATCCTCTCTGGAACCCCCTTTCAGTTAGTTGAAAGCAGCTATCAAATCCCCTCTCATTCTTCTCTCCTGCAGACTAAATAATCCCAGTTTCCTCAGCCTCTCCTCATAAGTCATGTGCTCCAGCCCCATAATCATTTTTGTTGCCCTCCGCTGGACTCTTTCCAATTTTTCCACATCCTCCTTGTAGTGTGGGGCCCAAAACTGGACACAGTATTCCAGATGAGGCCTCACCAATGCCGAATCAAGGGTAATGATTACGTCCCTCGATCTGCTGGCAATGCTCCTACTTATACTGCCCAAAATGCCGTTAGCCTTCTTGTCAATAAGGGCACACTGTTGACTCGTATCCAGCTTCTCATCCACTGTAACCCCTAGTATCTGACAAGACCCCAGGCCACGATTACCCTAATTGCCCCATTCTGGCAGAGTCAGTTTTGGTTTCTGGATCTCCTAAGGCTCTATGCCTGCTACCAGACCTCCACACCCAGGACCGGGGCAGTGTCTGTCACCCCAACCCTGGTCCCCTTCATCTCATAGCCAGGCTTTTGGATGGTGCTCATGCATAGACAAATCTGTTTGACACTGGTGTGACGCATTCTTATGCACAGGAGGCAGGCCTCCACCAGAGCGTCCTACACAGTTTCACCTCCTGGGCTCAGCACCATCGCCTTCCCTTTGATACCATCTCCACCCTGCCATCCTGGACTACCTCCACACCTCTTCGTGGCCATTGCGGACAGATCCTGGGGCCAAGCCCTCTCCTCCCAGCACATCTCAAAGTAGATCTCAGCATGCATCTGAGAATGCCTGGCTGGATTATGGTACACTCAACGTGGGTGCAAGCAGCTGCATCCACCTCCCTGGTGGATGTATCCTGGCATGACATCCGCTGGGCGGCAATGTGGCATTCTGTGCACACCTTTCACCATCCGCTATGCCATAGCACGGGAGTGGTGGTTGATACAGCTGTGGGTTGTGCCGTCCTCCAGACTGCGATACCTCTTGCATCCTCGCACCCCCCTCCGCACTGATCATCATTGCTTGCTACTCGCACGTGCTTGGAATACATATAGGGCCCATCACTCGAAGAAGAAAAAGAGGAGGTTATTTACCTGTAACTGGAGGTTCTTTGAGATCTGTGGTCACTATTTGTATTCCAATACCCACCCTCCATCCCCTCTGCTGTGGTCATCAGTAAGAGGATCATAGAATCTCAGGGTTGGAAGGGACCTCAAGAGGTCATCTAGTCCAACCCCCTGCTCAAAGCAGGACCAATCCCCAGACAGATTTTTTGCCCCAGATCGCTAAGTGGCCTCCTCAAGGATTGAACTCACAACCCTGGGTTTAGCAGGCCAACGCTCAAACTACTGAGCCATCCCTCCCCCCAAAATTAATGGAGATATCCTATCTCCTAGAACTGGAAGAGACCTTGAAAGGTCATTGAGTCCAGCCCCCTGCCTTCACTAGCAGGACCAAGTACTGATTTTGCCCCAGATCCCTAAGTTTTTGCCCCCTCAAGGATTAAACTCACAACCCTGGGTTTATGACTCGAAGTGTCGTCCCGCGCAGCCTCATATAACCTTGCCTGCACCACAAGGCTACGTGTGGTGCATGTGTGAGTTGATGGACACTGGTACAGAAATCTTGCAACTTAGCGCATGGCATCCATGCGCACTTGTGTTTGGAATACAAATAGAGAGCACACATCTAGAAGAACTTCCAGTTATAGGGAAGCAACTTCCTCTTTTCCATTACTCTTACAATTAATCATCAATGTTAATGACAACATTGACGTAAAAATTCACCATACACACTTCACACACAACCTTGACTCTGACAAGCACAAGCTTATGAACTTTCAGTTTATTACTAATGTATTTAATTTTTAAACTCTAAAGTATTTTATCATTGATATTCCTAACCTGGCATTTTTCTGTATTCTCAGTTAGGCACTCAGCAGGGCTATGAGAGTTAATTAGGAAGTCAGGTTGTCCAGAGACTTCAGTGAGCAGAGCAACTTGTTAAGGTACTGGGAACTAAGAGTGTAGGCATTTTCCTGATTTAGCTCCTTAAAGTCTTGAGGGAGAAGAATGGAACTGGCTCACGGGTGAACCAGTTCAGCATCAATGCAGTTGCTTTGGCATGTAAGGTTTTCAGCAAATAAAGCTACATATATAAAGCTTTGCATGGCAGACTTTTTGACAACCATTCATTCCATACCAATGCACTTTCCCAAACGTTTTATTTGAAATCTATTCTTTTCTGAATTGTCCAATATTCAGTTTTGTTTCGGCATCTACAAAAGTCATTGGTCATAGGCTGCAAAGAGTTAACTTTTAGGGAGAAAATGCTGACATTCTTAGATTGGGAAAAGAAGTCAGTTTTGATTAGTTTGTGTCCTTGCTTTAGAGTTTAAGTCTAAGAAAAAAAATTGTCTGAGGAAGCACATAAGGTCAGAATAGCTTGTTTCTATTAAGTTGGCTGTTGGATAAAAATAAAGCTTAGAAACTCTCCTTGCAACACCAACAAAGTTACAACTGATATCTTCCATAAGGTATGTATTATAGTCCAAAACCACACAGATTTTTCTCTTCAACCAGCAGCACTGCCTTAGTTGCTAGTGAGACTGGCGTACCTCCAAGTTTAAATGAGCTATATGTGTCCGTAAAACTTTTTTTCTTTATGCCTGTATAAAAACTTACTATGTTTTTCCTTATAATGAACTCCATTTATCTGGCATGCACAGACACGTGTAGTGGTGCATGCGTTACTTCAAGGTTGAAGAAGAAAATGTGATTTTTGTAATGGATAAGCACATGCAGCATGACCTTCCATAGCTGTGCATTTTACAGATAGAGTGAGAGAGAACTCTGTGTAAAATTGTGCTTTACATGTAGAGTGGAATTTTCAAAGGCTTGTAATTTATTTAAACAAAATCCATTTTCTCCAGAAAATTCTACTCAGTGCTTTATGAGCATAGGACAAGTCTGAAGGTTTTTTTGGAATAATGGTTATTTTTTTGCTGTTTTTCATAACTGAAAGTTTCTCCAATGGCTGCTGAATGACATTCCTCAGAGAAATTCAAGAACTACCACCTTTTTTCAAAATGGCTGCCATTTCCTGCAATGGGATTTGGGCTGCAGGTGCCTCTGTTGATAAATAGGCTGTCTTTTGAATTGGTCACCAAATGGGAGTGAAGCCTTCAGGGAAGATCATCCTCATTGGAAACCATGATTGGTGATGGACAAGCCAGAAGAGGGCATCCTAGTTCATGGTTCACAATCCCATTGAGAACATAAGGAGATGACAACCATTTTGAAAGACGGCAGTTTTGTGAACTTCTCTGAAGAAAGTTTATGAAGAATGACAGAAAATAAACATGAATCGTTAAGACTTCTTCAAATGTAGCCAATGCACACAACTTCAGTGAGTTTTAACATGGGAAGTCTGAATTTGCATTATTTCCATTAATAACATTCAGAACAAAAAAATGGTCTGAAAAAATTTAGCATCCTTTAAGACCCATCTTAAATTATTTTTTAACACCTAAACTAATAGGTTTGCTTGTGAATTCTCAGAAAACCCATTCTGTGCTCAAAAAGTGGTGCCGTACGTTTTTAGGAGAATACTTAGTACTCTTCATATATAAGAGGCTGAATTCCTATTTTAAATGCAAAATTCAATTCAGTCTTCACCATGGAACCACAACCACCTCTGTCAAAACACTGGTTTTGCCTTCTGTTCTTCTGTGTGAGGGGAATCAGCATTTTGGGTCTTTTCAGAAGGCAGATGCTGTGTCCCCTTGGGGGTAGAACCTTACACCACACTGCGGGTGACCCCTTATTCTCCTTCTCCCGAGTTCATCGCCTTAGCAGAAGTCATGCACTCAGCTCTGAGGACTAGAGAAACTCTCATGTTGCTAAGCAGTGGTGCCTCTCCTCTCTTCTCCCAGCAAGGGGTGCTGTTGAACCACACACTGAACTCTTGGGGAGGAGCACATGGCATTGATCTTGTTAGTCTTTCTTGCTGTCTGCTCTGGTTGGCACCTTGTTTTGAAATATGTCTTTTTCTAAATTTGAGTCCCTCTTTTCATTACCCAATTCTTGACCAAGTGACTGACAGTGTCCCCTATTTTTCTTTCTTGCTCTGGTTGATCTTGCATCATTTAAATTGCTGGTGACATTTTGCAGTTTCCATTAGTGAAGAATAGTCCTCACTCTGCTCCTGTCTCTTCTTTTCATTCTGTTACAGTTCAGGAAATACCAGATATTGTCTCCAGAATAACCCAGTATATAGCCGGGGCAAACTGTGCACACCAGTTGCCTATTGCAGAAGCAATGTTGACATACAAACAGAAAAGGTACGTTGTTTCAGTAATGGTTTCCAAAATATCAGGAAATCCACAGAGGATGGGGGAAACACCATTTCATTCTCTTGTTACACACAGATATAGCTGGCCACCTCAAAACCTTCTGAGAAACAACCTGTAAGAGTTGCACATTCACATCAAGAACTCTTTCAAGGAACAGTACCTGGCACTGTGAGTGTCATCAGCTAGATAGCAGATGACAAATCTAGAACAACCAGAAATGTGCCTTACTTTCTTCAGCACAGTTCATATATCTGAAGAGTAAAGAAGCCTGGAGGAACCTATACACCTGTTTGGTCTCTGGATGCAAAGGAATTCAGATATCTGGCTTTGCTTACAATGTCAGTGTCTGCATGTTTTGTGAGGGGGCGCTCTCAGACCTCAGAGCATGAACTCTGCCTAGCCCTCCGCCAAGGTGTCTCCAAGGGGTCCTGGCCTCTGCCTCCCTCAGAATTGGTGCAAAAGCCTGGGTAGAGAATACTGCCTCAGCTCCTGTCTAACAACTGGGGGAAGGAGCTGCTCCTCTCCTTGGCAGCTACAGCATTATAGGGGTCCCACTCAGGATGGTTGGAGCTCACCAGGGTTTACTTCAGCCTTGACATGGATATGCGGCTTGTGAGATGTGGGTTGAGAGGAGAGTACAGGAGTCAGCAAACAGGATAGGGGCAAAGGGGGAGCGGGGCAGAAGCGGCTGTGCCCACGTATGGCAGTGATGATGGGGGACCTATGGGAGTAAGGCGCAATGTGGTGGCATAGGAGTTTTCCGATTAGTGACAAAAATCGGAAATATAGTGTATATGCCACATGGGTGAAGTAAAGCTGAGTTTAATGATACTTCCTAAATTGGTGCAGAACTTGTGACTTTAATGGTACAGTGCTGTAGTTCCTTTGCATTCAATTTTTATAGGAGTAGAAGCTAAATTTACAAGGAGTAATTATTCGTTACTTTTCTTTTCTCTTTGGCAGCATATTTGTTTGCAATCCTCTAGTTGCTCCCCATTTCTTTCTGAAAGTAACTGAACTGGTTCATTGAAATCCTTAGTTCACTCCCATAGCCCGCACAATTAGATATCTCTGGACCTGCCGATTAGTAAATATTTGAATACTCTAATTTGCTTTTCTCATTAGCTATATTTTAATGTCCCCCTTACTTCCTGCCCAAACTTTCTTCTGTAATATTAACCTAATAACAACACTTTAGCCATTTGGTTGCTTAATTATTGTAGTATCATGATTGATTGTCTCACTCCTGATTTATGAATGAAACTGCATTCTCTCCACAAATAGCAGGGAGAAATTCTAAATCTTTTTACTACAGCATTAACTTGTTCTAATATTGCTGCCTTTGTCTTTCCTGCATGCTTTAACTGTTGTATTCTTGTTCGGTTCCCCCTTGACTTCTCCATTTCTAGTTCCTGTTTATAACGAGCATGTCCATTTAACCAGTTTACCCACTTTGACTTTCTGCCATGCCCAGATCGGTTGATCTAAGAATCAAGTTTGCAAGTGGTACTTCGTTGAAAACATTCTGACATCTAGCTAGACATCACATGTGTTTCCCTTGTCAACAGCCTGTGTAACCTCCTTACTCGGAGGATAATTCCATCTGAGATAAGCTATTCAGATTTCTTTAAAGCGTGCTGGTTTCTATTTACACCCATGTCTGTCCACCCCATTCCATCAAGCTATCTTTTACGATAGATTCCAGCAGTTCACCCGAGCCAGTAATAGATCATAGTTACCTGACTCCATCTTTTCCCTTTTTAAAGATAGGCTTGGCATCACACCTTTCAGGTCCTCTTGTTGCACTGTGCCTGAAGCCATGCAGAGATTGCTTGGTCTGTCTGGGGCTACTTTGAAGTGAAATAATGAAGAACTTTATTTGGCTCCTCAACCATTGCCACAGGCCCTCACTCCCTGGTATCTTTACTTCCTGGCTAAAATGTGAGGTTGTTAGAGTTTCTAAAATCTATTTATGGGTCTGTTCAAACAACTTCTGCTTTCAGACAAGTACCACATAGGAAATTAGAGAGGTTAGAGATGCAATTTATCACATGGAGTGATGGGAAATTATCTCCTAGCTCTGGTTTCCTTCAGAAATGGTGCTCACTGATGGCAGTGACTTGAGGGAATTATTTCTTAAAGTAACATACAAGTAGGACTCTGTTAGCACTATCTAAAGGAATGTGTTGCTTTCTATCATAAGTATAATAACGTGTTCATTTTTTCTTTTGGTTGCTTTCTGAAAAGGAAAAAGAGCTTTCATTTTGATTTTACCATAAGGTATCCTTCTTTAGGTTCCCTTCCCCATTCTGTACCTTCTATACTTTTCCTGGGCTGGTCTTTTATGCCTTGTTTAACAGCTCCTGCGGGTCTGGGATGCTTAACTTGTGCTTCAAATTAAATTATGTTTGTTCCTTTTCAAACTCCTGCCTCTGGTGGCAGAATGCACTGTTCCAAGGACCACAGAGCCAATTGTTTGGGGAGCCAAAATGCAGGTTTCACAGGAAATAGATTTAAGAATAGAAATGTTATCCAGAAAATAAAGAGTTTGGCCAATGTCACTTGAGGGCATGAGAATGTGAAAGTGAAGCTAGCCAGTCTGGTTCCTACTCTCAAAACTGAGTTAATCAAATGGTGTTAATAGGTAACGTATGTAAAAGTGATTTGGAATTATGAAGTATTTTGGTTTTAATATGTCAGTACAGGTAAGGTTATTATAAATGTGGCTTTTATGTTGATCATGTGCCTTTTATCTTCTAGGTAACACTTCAGTCACAGCTATTATGGGGTTTACGGTAGTGTATGAAGGATCCACACTAAACCAAGGTTTTAAGTGTCACCGTTAGTGTAATTTTAAAGAATGTTCTTTGCTCCCAACAATGGCAACAAGTGTACTGCTAAGTGTACGTCTATACTAGGATAAAAGCTCTGTGACACAGCCCTGACTGACCCAGGCCAGCTGACGGGCTGCAGAGCTAAAAGTTGCTGAGCCTGAGCTCCGGGACCATCCACTATTGCAGCGTCCTAGGGCTCAGATTCCAGCCTGAGCCTGGATGTCTGCCAAGCAATTTTTTAGCCCGCCAGCCCAAGTCTGCTGATCTGGGCCAGCCACAGGTTTTTTTATCCCTGGGTAGACATTCCCTTAGACTGCAGGTTTTGGAACCTCTTCAGCTGGAGTACAACTGTGTGGGTCTTTCAAGATTACAGGCCAGTGGTTCCCTTCCCCATAACAAGTTGAAAGAAGAGAAATGTAGCTCCTGGAATGGCAGACTCCATAAATTCAGACTAGCTTTTGCATATTCCTCAATCTAAGACAAGGTGGTGGGGAGGGCAAATGAGAATGTAGCAAGAGTAGCAGGAGGTATTTGGTTCTCTAACCCTAGTTGGTGTTTGTGGTCTGACAGACTCTGCATTCTGCCCCAGTTCTGAGTTGTCCAGTGACCTCTGTTCAGCGTTCCAGTCACAAGGCCTTGTAGAGCTCTCCATCTCCCTATTGAGCCGAGGGAAACAACTTCTTCAAAGCTACTCGTCCTTTGTGAGGGTCTGTGCTGAAGGCAGCAGCTCTATTCTATAAGCTCACAGAAAATTGCTTTTTAGAAACACTTTAAAAATCTTCCCAGCATCCTGGCACTTGCTCTGTTAAACAAGCTCTAGTGATTTGAGAACACCAAAACCAGAGAGAGAAACCAGTCTCCAGAATTTAGCTATATGTAATGAGCTGCTTTATAACTTGTTTTCTGCCAGTTGATCCTAACTTAATTGACTTCTGCTCTCCTTCCCACCCAACCCCCCCTCCCACTTGTTTTGTTTGTCATGGCAAGACTGAAGCATGTACTGCCTGTGATAGACTGCATATTGTCTGAAAGCTTTGCCCTGTTTCTTTGGAGCATCCGCTGACCTTCCCAAAATACAGAGACTAGGGGAGAGGAAGGGGTTTAGGGAGAAAATGATTTGCTGTATTTTGTCTCTTCTGGGTGACGTACTCTGGGTGGGTGGGTGGTGGTGGTGGTGGTGTTGGGGGGAGGAGGAGAAATGATTTAGTTATGGAATAGCTGAAGACTGCTGCAGTCCAGATGAGATTAAATGGTATCAATGGGATGGGTCATTTACTTACCATGTAGCTAGTGATCTTTAACCTAATGCTGATGACCAGGCCTCATACAGACTGACTACACCCAAAATGTGGGTCGAAGGAGCTACACTGCTCAGGGCTGTGAAAAATTTCACTTTCTATAATGTAGCTAAGTCACCCAAACCCCACTAGAAGAACTATTCCATCAGCCTAGCTACTGTCTCGTGAGGAGGTGGATTTACATCAGTGACGGAAAAACCATTCTAGGGCTGTAGTAAGTGTCTATACGACCAGCACTACTGGTGCATAGCTGTGTTGCTGTAGCACCTTCATATTCTGTTCTCTAGAAGGAAACACTCTGTTGTACAGTACTTACGAATTTTTGTAGGCTTTAATCCTCATAGTTGGAATAATTTGTCTGCCAGTGGTAACTCTCAATAGTTGTCTAGCCAGGTCATTGAGCATTCACTGGCAGTAGACAACGAAGTCAGTATTACCCATGGTAATTCCAAGTCCACTACAGTTTGCCTCTTGGGGCTTCTGGATCTCATTTGCATGAATCTAGGCTGCAGCTTGGCTTTGGAAATGAAAGCACTGCTCACTTGTATTGGGGAGTCTGTCATTTACGCCTCTTTAAAAATGTAGAGTATGTTTGTGATCTGTAAATAAATTCTCTCCTGCTCCCATATTTCAAACTGAATGGCCCCAGTTGTCATCCCATGTATTAAAAAAAGCAGACTGAGTAGAAGGGTGAGCAGAGAATGTGCCAGAAGAGTAGCACAACCTGCACCCTCCTCTCCCACTCCCAAGCCATGCTCTTCCTGGCATGTTGGTAGTTGCGTGGGGTGTGGTAGCAGTCCTTCCCCATGTCTGAGAAAGGGAGGTGTTTTGAAATACTGTGAAGTCAGCTCCCTGG